TGATCCCCCATTGTGCCCATCCTATCCCCCAGGGTCATCATTTGAAAAAAATAAAACTTGAGCTTACAATATGTAGAATAAGGGACCTTTTTTCGTGCCAAGTCCGAAAATGAAGAGTCCAAAATATTTCAAAAGAGTGTTTCAAAAGAAAGTCAATGAATTTAGAATTTAGTCTCGAATTTAGAATGGCGTTTTCCGGCCAAACAGGGTATTTTGTACTCAGAGGGTATTCAAGGTCCCAGATATATAAAAGTACCTTCCATTGGCTGTCTTACCATTGACTTGTTACCTACGCTTTGTCAGTAGGTCTGTCCGTGGACCGATGAACCCCAACATTGCACCACCCTCCAATACAGGTAAACATACGTTAGTGATATTTATGGACTCAGTCCCCATCTCCGCATCACAGGAGTTCTAGCCCTAAACTCCTTTACTTATCAATATCTACTTCAAAGTTCCCAATTTTATTACTTTTGATCAAGAATCTTAATAGTAACTTTGCATTTCCGTTCAAATTTTATTACTTAGTATCGATGAACTGGATTGGTCTATTCTGATCAATTTCCTTACAAAATGATTTACACAATTATAGTTCATTGTACCAACAACAACATCCAATTTGTTCTAACAAGATAAGTATAGTTCATGGAATTAAAGTCTCTTTTCCAATTATAAAGTCATTGTATGTGGTACACTAATAATGTACATCCTTGTTTAATAAACTTTCATTTTATTTTACTATCACTAATAAGTTCACTATTAATAACTAAAATGATTTTAATATGAAATGATTATAGTCCAAGTTTAAAATGTTCAAATAAAAGGTCCTTTCTAAACCCTATAGGTTTACACATAACGATCAGCTCCTAAGTCTTGATTCTAGAGTAGACACTCCACTACTTTACCACGCAGGCAATTAGTGCTAAATATAAGCACAAAACAGTACATACATGTACAGTATAATAATTAATGCTGTATAAAACCTAAGCATTTAAGAAAAAAATCAGGTAAATGACACTTTTTTAAAAAGTTTCTTAAATTCATCAAAAAGGCCTAGTTAGAAATGATATTCCAGTAATCCTTTCATTTAAGTTTCTCGACAATTTTATGTCTTAAAGATCATGAAAACATGCATGTAAAAAAAGTGCAAGAAACGTGGACATATAAAGAAATATTTTAAGGGTTGACAATGAATTCCATCATTGTGAAAATCAGCAGATAATAAATAATTATATCTTAAGTTTTATCTTTATCATAACAATGAAACATCCTTTCATTGACATTACAAATTGCTGTGGCAACTAACATTACATATCTTGATGTTGAAGTAATCTACAGTTTACCCATGTATTCTAATAACTTGAAAGATAAACAACATATTTTAACAATTATAATCTAAAACTTACAAAATAAAACAATTTTATTTATTTACAAAACAGAGCTATAATAACAGCCTATACACATACATATAAAGTTAAATACAAAGATGTCTATTCTAAATATTTAATTTTCTTAACCTTTCCTTTCCACTCAGCAACAAACAAATTATTTTTATACACACATAAACCAACTGGATTCTTCAGATCACAGTTATCTATTTAACGGAGGAACTGTCCGTCCTGGTCTAGGATGTGGATACAGTGGTTTAAATAGTCTGCTGTCAGGATCTGACTCTGACTGTCTGTTGTGATGCCTAAAGGTTTAAATGACTTGTTCTTTGTAGTAGAAGGATGGCCAGTATATCTAAATCGGAGTTTTCCAGCCTGATTGACCACAACTACAGCACCAGCTTCATAGTCAGCCACACAGATATCTAGGTTTTTGTTCTCACTGATGTACTTAATTTTAGTATTTCCTGAATACATAGGTTTACCCTCCTCATCAAACTGGATTGTTTGTTTCTCTGTGGAGCCTGAGTAACGGACAACTTTGGATTGTGTTTCATCATCACTGCACATGGTAACCAGGAGATCACTAGAGAAGGTGACACAGAGATTGAGAGGTCTCCAGCCCTGTAGTCTGATCATCTCCTCTGTCTGTCCATTCTTCACTTTCTTCACACTGCTTTTCTCCCCATCAGAGTACACTACATCTCCATCACCTCCATCCATGACTGCTATATCATTTGGAAAACCCCCTGATTTTTTTGTTATTGTCTTGATAAGTGAGCCTTGCATGTTAAAGCATTTCATTTCACTGATTTTCCACTTGTCCAGATTTCTTCTTCACTAAGACAGGCAACAGAGCGGAGGTATTTATACCCAGTATCTATTGTAGTGATAAGTTCTGGTTCTTCCAGCAGTTCTCTGCTTGATGTTTCTGGTTTCTTCAGTTTGTATCCATTTTCTTCTGTTGTGGTAGATAAAGATGCAAGTGATCCAAACAACTTATAAAGCTGTTCTTTATCTACTGGTTTTGGAATAAACATTGGAAGTGATACCTGAAGTTTAGGAGGAAGTTTGCTGAATTCTTTGTTTCGGGAGCTGTATTCTGTGGTTATGGACACTTCATTTGATTTGTGACGGTTGAGATCTTTATTGAATATTTATTAATTAATATCCCAGTAATTGATTATTACTTGTGTACATTGACTGATATCAAATTAGCATAAATCTATGTTTATTATGTATAAAATATACCAATTTCTATATTGTTAGCGTAATACTTATTGTTCTATTGATTTTGCGCTAAACGTCATTTATATGTTATGAGTATGACGTCACAGTACGTCCCGGTCCGGGTTAGCCCGACGGTATTATTACTGACGACTGTTGTAATTTTGATGAGTGCTGATTTTTATACTGAAGGAAGTGAACGTGTTTGGAGGAGAGAGCGGTCTACATTTGACCTGTAAGCATTGTTATCATTGTTATAGATGTTTTATTATTGTAATTAAATAAACGGTTAAAACTGAAATCGATTCCTGTTAATTGATTCTGGGACTATTGGGCAACCGCCCGTTACATATTTTGGGGGCTTCGTCCGAGGGATATCGATTCTAGTTTTAACTGTTGTTTTGTATTGTGTAGCATAAGGAAAAAAGCCAATGGCTTCAAACGAATCATTTTTACACAACTTGTCAAGTGGTTTTAATGGCTTTGTGAAATTTTTCACACCAAGTTTCTTAACGCGCGGACCGACTACAGACGATAAGTCTGTTCCCTTAGATCAAAACAGATCTTCCGAGAATAACAGCGAATGTAGATACATGTCCACATGTAATAAATCAGAAACAAATAACAAACTTCAGAACTTACCCCTAGACATCGACTGTTCAGAGACCGAGTACGAGTCCGAGCGCGTATATCATGGAATGTATGATCCGCCTCTTGTAGGTCATGGAAAGAACGATAACTCAGTCGTTAGACCTAAATCTTATCCAGACAATGCCCGGTGTTTTTCAAAATCAGATCATGAATTTAACACTTGTACTTGTCCGCGAAACAGAAATTGTAGTTCAATCACTGATCTTTCATCACAGAAACGTGATCCGTACCTCTTTCCAGATACACAAGTGCATGCGCACGCTGAATCAGATTTGTTTTCATGTTCACCAGAAAATCTAGTCTGGTCCCCTTCCCACAATTCCGTTCGCGCACTCTCTACATTGAGGTCAGGCATCGGTTGATTCACTGTTAGACGTTGCGCAATTTCAAAATGGCGGACAAAGTAAGTAACCATCTCGAGAAATAATTGCTCATATCTATTTGTTTTACATCATGACAACTTATTCCATCAATGCTGACTGTTAACCAAAGCTGTTTTCTATTTATTTTTTTATTCATTTGATTTATTTTGCGTAAATTTACACTGTTATCACTGGATTAAAAAATGTTTACATTTTGAGAACGTGGAGGTAATCAAAATTGACCCCCAATATTTCCTTTGTCGTGGACCGACATCAAAATTTTATTGTCTAGTCTAATGTATATATGAATGATCTGTGTTAGGATATACAATGTTTTATATGTCGCTCCTTATTTAATATAGTAAAAGCACCCCAGATTTCTTATCATAATTCTATCAACAATGAGCACATGCTCTGGCCTACTGTTGCATATATTTGACCTTAACAAAGGTTTAACGCTTCTGTATTGTTTGCATTTTGCTGTCCATGTAATCATCATATAAGTTGAAAAAGGGGAGGGATTAAACCCCCCTGTGTATTTATTTTGTTTTGGTTTATTATGATTCCCCTAGCTGGTACCGTAATTTCCTTCCACTTTATCCAGCATAATATTTACATGATAGCATGAGTCTAACATGTAATTTTCATGGAGGCTTGTTGAAGTGAATCCCCCTATACAGATGTTTAGCTGTTAGAGGTGGTGCTACTTTGGTAGGTCACCACAATCTATTAATATCCTTGCATACATAGTAATTTTTCATACAACTGTAATGCCAACTTGCCAAGGCAATACGTACATTTTGAAAAATGTACTAATCCTTTTTATGTTGTAACAGGTTCATTATAGCTTTCAGATAATCATAAGGCCATCCTTAAAAAATTGTTTGTTTGGAATTGCCACCTGGAGGGTTTCAGACACAGGAGGGAGGGAGGGAAATTATTTTTTTTTTAAATTGAAGATAAATTATAAATTTTTGATAAAAATCTCAGAACAAAAATACCTAATTTTACATAGATCTGACACTACATTTCAGTGTTTTGTATGGTGCGTGTGATACATGTAATGGGCCAAAAAAAAATTGATTAAATTAAAAAAAAATCTTCCTACTTTTGGTCAATAAATTTTTTTAGGAGGGGGGCATTTCAATGAGGCGGGAGGCAATTCAAAAAAACTATAATTTTATTTTGGCCTAAATATCTCTATTTTGTATGTTTTTTTTTTTTTTTAGGCTTTTCCATCGTTCATTGCATTTCATAAAATTTACCAGGATACCGAAAACAAATCCCCTGTATTAAAGACATGATGGTCAGCCAAAAGAGAGCATGGAAGCCCAACAGGAACAATCCCTCTACAGCCCATTAAGGTGGTACAGTTTAAACTTGCAGAGTAATTCGTTTAAATTAATTTTGCACACCTTAAAATGTTTGTCCTTTTCTCCAAGTCATTGTGTGGTTGCAATCTTATTGTAAGTACAATTCAATGAATAGACAAGAATGATATAACCTTGAAACAGATTTATCAGTTCAAATAATATTAGCTATAAGGAGAGTAAGTCAAAGTAATAATAAATTATTTTACAAATTTACAAAAGGAATTACATGTATATGCGAATTAATATGGTATATATCAGCACTCAAAAAGCAAGTCAAAGTTCATACAGTTAAACTTGTTAAATACAAATATGCCATGATGGATATTGTGAATTCACAGATATAGAGAAGTTATCTTGTATTCTCAGCAATATTAATTCAGCAAATTCCTTATATATAATGAATAAAATGGATGTAAGGAATTTTAAAGGATATAGGATGTAATTTCTGTAAAACCGAGTTTTACTGTAATAGGTAATGCTCTTCGCTTTATGTTCAGTTCACTATTTTCTGTTTATAGGTCTGAAGTGTACCAGTGTACCAGTTTCTCTTTGACCTGTGCTAACTCTGGTTACCCCGCCTTTGTCAAGGACACGTGTACTTGTCGCTGTCCCATGGGTCTGGATCCCTCTACCGGATGTCCAACTCATTTTGATGGGGGGTATTTAACTTAGTACATATATACAATTCTCTGTTATCCTTGGGCTTTCAATAAGATGTGGTGTTCTGGATGTTACATATTAAGCATCTGAAATATACAAAGCTTTCATTCACTGTTGAAATATATATGGGATAGAATTTGGGAGAATGTCAACGTGTAACAAATATTCAATAACAGCATCTCGCACGGCAAAGAGGTACGACTTAGGTAATTTCATCGTCGTCAACAAAAATTTAAAGTTCTGATATTATTATTTTCTTAACAAATGAGAATCTATTTGCCATTTGGGATACTTTAACTACGTATATGTAGTGTCGAGAATGCCACACTTTTCTGAAAGTCCGGTGATGATAGGGATTGTACAAAAAATTTAAAAATGTTCTTTTATTTTCAAAAATTCCTTCATTATTTTACATCAAATTGAATCTGCATACTCGGCATAAAAGTTTGGAGTGCCAAAAGACAAGCTCCATCATGACTTTATTATGTTATTTCTCCAAGACACGGTCAAGGTCAAATAAGTCCTTACTTCAACCTAGCCAAATGGAGGCAAACGTAACAAATACATGTTTATCTTAAATAGATTAAAGAATAAGATGAATTAATTTCAGAAAAGCTTTTGGTACCTAATATTTATTTCTTCAGATCGAATGATTTCAACAATCATCACCTTTGACCGTCTGACACCTTTACCAGATTAAGTACATGTACCTGGATACATGTAACTGGCTGTCCCAGTGGGTTTTATGAAGGCAGTTTTACACATCATCTTAAAGACACTAGGATGGACCACACAAGTTCCACATTTAGTGCTGACATCATTTCAAAGCCCACCTCTACATTTTACAAGTTTTGTGCTAAGAAGAAAATGGAAGAAAATAGAATTTCGCCAAGCTGGCCTGCAGGAAAATATTGTATCTACTGCCAAGGAGGGGTTTGTCCCATTGGTAAATAATGCAGAAATAGATTTACCGCTATTTCTAATTTAATTACCCGGTAAATTTTCAAGCAAATGTAAACAAACAATCAAATTAAATCAAAAGCTGTGGATTCAATTTTTTTATTCACAAAATACTTAAAAATTTCCTGTCACAGTGGTGCTTATCAATAAAAAAAGAAGATAAAACCATTTTTTTAGGAATACCAGAAATATGATCACTATAATTGCTTTTGAACATTTATATCTTAGGCTTCAGTGGTGGATATATACAGTATGATGACACCATGAATCCATAGCATTCAGATATTCTCGGCATTCTTCCTGAAGGTGACTTCACGGCTGACACAGGTTCTATTTCTGTTGTCGCAGTGACTGATCTACATCATCCGGTTATCCTACCCTCAAAGGAGCCGTTTGTCTTATTTCCGGACACCTCTGCTTGACAGTAAGTCGCAGGTTCTAATTTCATAAAATAATTAAAAAGGAAAAAAATTGGGTAAATAATGACATGATTTTTTTTTAATATTAGCCTTTTTATCAAGTCTGTTGTTTTAGTTTATAAAAACTGTCTTCGTATTTTAAGGAATGCAAAGTTTTGATGACAATGCAGAGTCAAGATATTGTGACAAAGACATGCCAGCTTGAAGAAGACCATCCAGTGATCATGGTGTTCCACTCAATTTTTCAGAATTATGTGTCAGATTGAAATTCATCTTATGGTGGACAAAACAATCAAGATATTCTTCTGGATCTAGTAAGTGTTTGTAAATTGGAATGAAAAAGATTTTACTCTTCCTTTGTATACTTCAGATTGGAACCTGAAAATGAGAAATGACCATGTAAATGCATTTTTTTAAATAGGTTAAACAGTTCTTTTTACTTGTACATGTAATATGATAAGCATGATCTGAATTTTTATTATACCTTGAAATTTTACTTTATACACTGAAAGACTTTCTTAAAGTATTTTCATACACTGAAATCTGTATGTTGGATTAAAATATGTTGAATTGATATTTTTTTCAGGTCCAAAGTATTGACAGAACCAAAGAATACCTGATAGTCTGCAAATGGAGTGATCATTCTGATTGGATGAACCAGGCAACACTGATTATCTCAAGAAATTTTAGGATAGAGACTCCATCTTCATTCATAAATGATTGATGTTGACATTTTCTCACAGGCTTTTGTTTCATATCTTCTTTTTCATAACATGGACACCATGCAACATCAGTTATCCTGTAGTGTCAAAGTGTTTGATATGTTCAAAGTAATTGATTCTGAGACTTATTTAAAATCTGTTATTAAACAAGCTGTAATAAAATCATGATAGCAATAAGCACAGTACCGGGTATTATTTTACTTTGCATAGCAGAAGTCTTAATTCATGGAAAAATGAGAATTTACTTTGTCTATTTTAGACAGATAGAGCTCTATTTTTAGCTCACCTGAGCCGAAGGCTCAAGTGAGCTTTTCTGATCAAAATTTGTCCGTTGTCTGTCGTAGTTGTTGTCGTTGTTGTCGTCGTAAACTTTTCACATTTTCATCTTCTTCTCAAGAACCACTGGGCCAATTTCAACCAAACTTGGCACAAAGTATCCTTGGGTGAAGGGGATTCAAGTTTGTTCAAATGAAGGGCCACACCCTTTTCCAAGGGGAGATAATCATGAATTTGTTAAAAATTAATGGCATTTTTAAAAAATCTTCTTCTCCAGAACCGCTGGGCCAGGAAAGATGAAACTCATGTGGAAGCATCCTCAGGTAGTGTAGATTCAAGTTTGTACAAATCATGACCCCCGGGGCAAGGGTGGGGCCAAAATGGCCGACCCAAGTTTTACATAGGAATATATAGGAAAAATCTTTAAAAATCTTCTTCTACAGAACCACTGGGCCAGGAAAGATGAAACTCATGTGGAAGCATCCTTAGGTAGTGTAGATTCAAGTTTGTTCAAATCATGACCCCCGGGGCAAAGATGGGGCCAAAATGGCCGACCCTAGTTTTACATAGGAATATATAAGAAAAATCTTTAAAAATCTTCTTCTCAAGAACCACTAGGACAGGAAAGATAAAACTCATGTGGAATCATCTTCAGGTAGTGTAGATTCAAGTTTGTTCAAATCATGACCCCTGGGGCAAGGGTGGGGCCAAAATGGCCGACCCAAGTTTTTCAAAGGAATATATAGGAAAAATCTTTAAAAATCTTCTCCTCCAGAACCACTGGGCCAGGAAAGATGAAACTCATGTGGAATCATCCTCAGGTAGTGTAGATTCAAGTTTGTTCAAATCATGACCCCCAGCCCTGGGGATAGGGTAGGGCCAAAATGGCCGACCCAAGTTTTACATAGGAATATATAGGAAAAATCTTTAAAAATCTTCTTCTCCAGAACCACTGGGCCAGGAAAGATGAAACTCATGTGGAATCATCCTCAGGTAGTGTAGATTCAAGTTTGTTCAAATCATGACCCCTGGGGCAAGGATGGGGCCAAAATGGCTGACCCTACTTTTACATAGGAATATATAAGAAAAATCTTTAAAAATCTTCTTCTCCAGAACCACTGGGCCAGGAAAGATGAAACTCATGTGGAAGCATCCTTAGGTAGTGTAGATTCAAGTATGTTCAAATCATGACCCCCGGGGCAAGGATGGGGCCAAAATGGCTGACCCAAGTTTTACATAGGAATATATAGGAAATATTTTTAAAAATCCTTCTCAATTACCACTGGGCCAGGAAAGATGAAACTCATGTGGAATCATCCTCAGGTAGTGTAGATTCAAGTTTGTTCAAATCATGACCCCCGGCCCTGGGGATAGGGTGGGGCCAAAATGGCCGACCCAAGTTTTACATACGGATATATAGGGAAACCTTTTAAAATCTTCTTTTCAAGTACTTCAAAGCTATGATTAGTGATACCCGGGGTGTTTATATGGAATCATCCTCAGGTAGTGTAGATTCTAGTTTGTTCAAATGATGAACGCCTGGAAGGGGGGGGGGGGAGTAAATTCAAGCCAGGTGTGCTCAGGTGAGCGCTGTGGCCCCTGGGCCTCTTGTTCTATTAGCTGCAGAACTGTAGCTCTCTGAAAAAAATATTGGGGACAAACCTGAGAGCTACAGTGCCACCCATTGAAAAAAAACTGTAGATATATTGCACACAAGAAATGTTTCTTAATTTATTTCTCCATGTTTTTAAACCGTCATGTCAAAATATTACTAACCATGTGTTCCTAACATATTTTTTCACTGTTTCCACAACAAAACATTCCTTATAATTGATGTTAGTAGCCCTCTTGGACCTGATATTTGAGATCATCGAAAATTTCGTCTATTTATACTGCAAAATAATTCGGTCTTACAATGCTTCATGCAGTTGTAAACTACGAGAGTACTTGATACTAAGAGAA